TTTGAAAGATTGGACAGAAATTATAGGCCCGTTGAGGAGCCGTTAACTTTACGGACAGCTTTCTTCAATTCAGACATGCTTTTCACGCGTTTGTGTTTTTATATTCAGTTTTACTCGAAATTATTATCAATTATTATAATAATTTTGTCTAAATTTTAAAACAATAGCTTTAGCTTTGGATAACATAGTCAGAGGAATATCGACACAAAGTGTTGAAACACTAGATCACGCCATCACCGAAGAAGTGACCAATCATTTGCTCGAAGATATTAAAAAACCTTTTTCGGGAATGGATTTGATTTCACTAAATGTTAATTTTCATTACAAATGTGATAAAAATCTTTGTCTATATATTTATAATATTTTTAATATAACAGTTACAAAGAGCGAGAGACCACGGAATCCAACCTTACAATGAATATCGACGCGTTTGTAATCTAACGAAAGCTAAAAAGTTTGACGATTTATTGTCAGAAACGCCAAAATTTATTGTCGAAAGATATAAGAAAATATATGAGTAATTATTTTTTGTAATATACATTTGATTTTATAAAAACAATACAATCCGTGACCACAACAGGAATGTCGATGATATCGATCTGTTTTCCGGAGGAATACCCGAAACTCCAGTTCACGGCGGACTCATTGGCCCCACATTTGCTTGTATTATAGGAATGCAGTTTCAAAAACTCAAAAAATGCGATCGATTTTGGTATACATTTTACAAATTACTTTTAAAGAATGCACTAAAATGTTAACTTTTTTTCATCAAAAGGTACGAAACTTCAGATCCGTTCATAAGATTCAGTGAACAACAATTGGCAGAGATTAGGAAAATAACTTTGGCTAAAGTTTTATGCGAAAATTCTGACAGTATTGACACAATTCAGCGACAAGTTATGGATTTACCAGATTCATTCTTGTACGTTACCCACCATTGCATACAATTTAAGATAATATGTCATAAATATTCATTATGTCTATAATGTGATAGAAATCCTCGGATTCCGTGCTCTTCGATGCCATCAATAGATTTGACGCAATGGCGAGAAAGAGGCAACTCTTGTGTCGTTAATAATAGAGTTCTGGCCATCGGAAGGGCTGACAGGATATCTCCGTGTGTTAACTGTATTTGCACTTTTGAAGGGGTCAGTCATCCTCACGAGTCAAACCTATTGACTGTGACATGTTTTAAACTTTATTTCACTTTCAGATAAGATGTCAATCACTTCGGATCAATGATTGCAATGAATTATTTTCATCGCATTCACGACAAGACATATTGAACGACTCGGTGTGCAAAGTCCAGTGCGCCTTCTCTTTTGGACATAACATGCGTTCACAACAGTCCAGAAGAATATCTACTATTTTTGGATTCAGTCAATGAATTGGTCGACCCTTTAATCAATAATATAATCAATTCATAAATTAATAAGTGATAGTGTCATGAATGTCAAGCGTTGTTAATAAGTCGCCAATCGGTTTGCCCTTTAAATACAATTATGTTATATATTTTCATATTTCTATGTCTTAAAGAGTTTATACGAATTGAACACAATTTTTAATTTAAGTTATATAAAGTCAACGCTTTCTCTGCGAGAGTTTGAAAACTTTTAAACAGAGTTTGCGATACATAGGGAAGAGACGGACAATTTGGGGGGCAATGCATACAACGGCTCAACAATGACTACAACCCAGGGATAGACACAATGTCTCACAATTTAATGTATTTTGTTTTTAAATATAATACACTATAATATACTGTATATATAATTATGTT